CCCACTAAACCATTGAGCTAAGCCCGTGCGGGTTAAATAGGTAATTCTAAGTTTACAAATGCAAGATAATATAGTCAAGATTGATTATAATTGTCAATAAAATAATTGTATAGGTATGGTTGAAACCAAATATGGGACATAAGGGAGAACAAATAAAAATTAGGGCATAAAATATTAAATATATACTAATATTGTTTGAGGAGATTCCGACATTAGGATTTGTGGTTAAGTTCTATTAAGACTTTAATATTAGAATTAGATTAATGGTGTAGTTATAATTATATATTAGACTTTAATATTAGAATTAGACTAACGGTGAATTAACGGAAAAGTTAAATGGATAATCATATAATTAAGGATAAATTAGAAAATCTTAAAAGAAAAAAAATTAAAACCTGAACAATATGAACCATTCATTGATTTAATAATTTGGCGGTCATTTTATCTACCCAATATTAATAATTAAATAAATTCGCTGGTCAAATTCGTTAGTATAATCCGCTAACGCTAACCGCTAACTGCTGATTGTCAAACAAGGACATTGCGAGGTAGTTCTCACTTCAATTTGTTGTGTGATTTGAATACTCTCTTTGTCACAAAATCTCTCAAGTAGTTAATATGGTTGGCTTTATTAATTATATTTTTTTTAATTTTTTCATGGTATTAATAAAATACTTGGTAAATAAATATATAGCATTATTTTGTATTATAACTTTGATATTTAATTAGAAAAATAGTGCACAAAAAAGATAATAGATAATGTAGTGAATATTATAATCAATTGATTAAATTGAATGTACAAATTTTTACATTTGAGAAAAATAAAGACAATATAACTAATGAAAATATTTCTTTTAATTAATTTATTGATAATTAATAATTTTTTTTTCACTGAATAAAGACATTGTAAGGATAATGTAGCGAATATAATCAATTAATAAATTTGAATATAAAGAATTTTTATATTGAAGAAAAATAAAGACAATATAACTAATAAAATTATTTCTCTTATTTAATTTATTGATAATGAATAATTTTTTGTTTTGAATAAAGGCATTGTGGACACATAATTCTAAATTAAAGAAATGCATATGTATTATTTTTTGTTGTAACTACTAAATTATTATTTATATAATTTAATAAGAGTAAAATAGAGTACTAATTATGCCAACTTTGATTAGGATGAGGTTCGAACCTAAGATCTTTTTTTATTGAAATCAATGAGTAAGTTAACGGTGAACTAACGGCAATTCTTAAAATTTTAACGGAATTAGTAACGGTGTGTGGGTATTTTAGGAAATTTTAGTGTAAAATTTAAATTTGATCAATCTTTTAATCAATCTGAGCCATTCATTTGATTAAAATCTGTGACCGCCATTTTTTCTACCCATTATAGGCTTAACTCTCTTGGGCTCTTATTAGTATGTAGAAATTGGCAATATTAATAACTGTTATTAAGTTTAGGGACTAATCTCGTTTATTACCTTTCATAATAATTATTATTTCTTGGTAATCTATTATGTTTGGAAAGATTACCTATTTGGTGATTATTGTTACGTGACATTGCATTGAGGTTACTGACGGTGAAGATGGGAGAATTCTAGCACTATGGGGGATGCGGTTTGCATCATTAAGGTTAGTCATTAAGTTTTTATCATCATTTATTGATAATTAGTGTTACAATTATAGTTTGATTGCTATAATTTTGAAATTGCCCACATTTTATTTCCTTAAGAAAAATGGAAATATTAAAAAAGGTATATTACCATACTTTGGTTGTTATTATCAAATATTAATGGTGATTATAGGTTATTTATTACCATTAATATTTTAATGATAACATTATTATTATGGTATATTTATGAATCCTGAATTGTTTCCAATTATGTTTATGTGGCAATGCTCCAGGCAAGAGATTTTTTTTAGGCAACTAACTATTGTCATTGACTCATTGCTGTACATTTATTCCATAATTCATTTAGTCTTTGAATTATGATTAATGTTATTGCTCATATTTGGTTAAGTATGAATAAATGAATATTTGGTGTATTTTCATACTCTTTATATTGTTTTATGCATTTGATCACATTAAGTACATAATATTAAGTTTAATTATGCAATTAGGATTTGTGAGATTTTGATTTACAAATGATAACATATACTTTTGGTTTGTTATTGATATAATTTGTGAATTCAATTATTTCTCATAAATTTGATCTTTATGCATTAAAACATTTTGTCATGAGCTTACAGTTTAAAACTTCAAAATTATTGAAATCACATATTGTATATGAGTTTAATGTTTAATTTTATGCATATTTGTCCTAAACATAATATTATGTTTTAAATTATGCAATTTTTATTATGCATTTAGCAATTGCGTAAATTTAGGATGGAATTATATTAGTTCCTTATAAAGTTGGACTAATGCATAAACTTTAGTTGCGGTAGTGCCTGAATTTAAGCATGTTTAATCCGTTAATTTAAGGGGGTGTATTCAATCATGACTTTCCTAGAGTTTTAAAGACTTTTATGAACTTTAAAAGTTTGGGGGTATTCAATTCAAACTTTTAGAGAGTCTTTAAAAGTCAAGCGGTATTCAATCAAGATTTTTAAAGAGTCTTTAAAAGTCGTGTGGTATTCGATTAAGACTTTTATAGTCTTTGAAAGTTATGTGGTATTCAAAAAGTTATGAACTTTTGTAGACTTTTTAATTTTAAGACTTTTGTAGACTTTTCATTCTCAAATATAAATAGTTGAAATCCAACCATCAACCCCAAGATTTCAAATTTTTCTTTCTAACAACTTTGAATGTTTTCTCTCTCTACTTAAACTCTATTTTTCTCCCTATTTAAACTTTATAAACCTATCTAAATTTAATAAAATTATTTTTTTCTTCATTATCCCATATTTTCCTCATACCTAAAACTCTACCAATTTTTTTTCTCTCTCATAAACTTTACAATCTTCCTCTAAAAATTCGAAATAATATTATTTTTACTTCATTATTTCTTGTTTATATTGATTTTTATTTTTTCAATAAATTTTTTATCCCTAACTTTCTCTAATTCTCTCTAAATACATGAACAAAGTAAAATTTTCATCATCAAATTTTAGTATATATTTCATAATATTCATATAAATACTTATATATTTTGATTTTTATTCTTATTGTGTTTATATTCGTAATATATATTTTTTCTTTTAACAAGTTACTACGAATAGCGAACTACTGTTCGCAACAACAATTTGGGGTTGCAAACAGTAGCACCTTCCTGTTGTTCGGAGTCTCTTATTGCGAATAATAGTTCTTTGCGTGATGCCTATATATATATATATATATATATATATATATATATATATATATATATATATTAAATTTTTATTTTTTTATTTTATGCAACTTGTAATTATATTTTTAAATATTTTATTTGATCAATTCTTTTATTATAAATTTTATTATTCAATATTGTTATGAATTTGTAATGAAATAAAATTTTTTTATGTTTATTAATAATATATATAAGTAATTAGCATATAAGTCTCAACCTACATACTATGGAGATAAATAATAATGTTGATGTGGGTGAAGAACTATATAATAAGAAAATTTTATGATATATTATAAATGTTTTGTAAGAAAATTATATAAATGATAAGAATCAAAATCATTGAAAGTTTGTACGGATGTATTCAATTTAGAATTTCAATGACTTTTGTAGACTTTTTAAAATAAAAAGTTGATAAAAGTCTATGAATGTTTTTTATATAGACTTTTATAGAGTCTTATAAAGTTTTAAAAAGTTTTGAACGACTCTATGAAAGTCAATCAAAGTTTATTAAAATCTATCATTTTAAAAGTCTTTAAAACTCTACAAAAGTCATGATTGAATACACCCCCCTTAGTTCATCAATTTAAAGTCTTATCCACATGTGAATCTACAATCTTTAGATCTTCCAAACGATTTTACTTCAAACATGAAAATGCATGACTTAGGGAAGTTTCTTGGGGAGGAATACTAGTTCTATGGCCTTGGCTTAAAAGTCTTGTTGCTACTAGTCCCCTTGTTGACGCTACTCTGTCTAAGGAGTTGGTATTTAACCGAGCTTTGCCTCGACCAACTTTCCTAGGAGTATACCTAATAATTGTCTATCATGTGTTGGTTTAATTTGTTCGTTAGGCTTTAAATTCTCCTTTTGCCAAGTGATTACAATTTTAGATTAATTAAAGAGTAGGCACATGCAACATCTTTAATTTACTAAAATTGTCTAAGGTTTAAATTACATAAAGATGGCAATGATAATTGTCTAGTGATCTTATAATTTTAATAAGTTAGGGAGTAGCCACAACATCCTTAATCAGTTAAAATTATATATTAAGCAGTTTATCATGATCACATACAGTTTTGGGCATATCATTTGTGATTAATTGTATGTAATATGATGGAATTTAGCTCACAGGCAATTTCGTTATATTTGTATAGTTAATCAGGATGAAATACTGGACTACGATCATAATTTAGCCCACAGGCAATTATGTATCGGAATTAGTTTAGTAGTTTTATCAGTGATGATAGAAATAAATCAATTTATTTACTTTATGGTTATTTGTAAATAATTTCCAATTCTATCATGAAGTTTAATTTTATGATGTAAACTTTAGATCATATTTCTTAATTTGCCCACAGGGATTAAGAAAAGGAACATGATCTCTTTAAGTTTTTTTTTTTTTTTTTTATCATAATGGTTGTAATGAATCTTATTGAGTAAAACTTTAGCCTACATGCAAGTTTTATGTCATTTGATTCTTCAACTAATTTGGTAATAGTTTCATCATAAATAAAATTTTTCAATTGGATCTAATTGAGTAAAACTTTAGCCCACAGGCAAGTTTTATGTCACTAGATTCTTCTGGCTATTTAATAATTGAGATAAAATATTGGCATAAGGGTTTCTTAACTGGATTTTTTTTTTTTTGAAAAGAACGACTTTATTCAAACTTAAACAATAAATTGTTCAATACATGGAGGAATCGAAGAAAACCAAGTAACATGACCAGAATGAACATTAGCAGCTCTAGCTAAAGCATGAGCACATGTGTTCGCTGATCGAGAGATAAACTCAATAGACACTGCTTCAAAGTGTCGTTTTAGAACCCGGCATTGATTGATAATATTGCCTGCATATGAGGAATCCGGGAGATCATGATTAATAAACCTGCAAACCATCTGACAATCCGAATGGATAATAACCTTTCGCCAGCCTTGTAAGAGTATCCAAGATAGAGCTTCCTTGATAGCCATGGCTTCAGCAAGATGGGGGTCTTTCAAACAGCGGATAGGACCACTTTTGGCTGCCACATATCTCCCGCCATCATCAAAGACCACAACCCCGTAGAAACCAATATCACCATTCTGCTATAGAGATGCATCCACCTTCACTACCCAAGTCAGAGGCGGAACTACTAAACTGCTACTCAATGTCGTATGATTGCTGATTATGGGGGATGAGGCTGCACTGTACGACTGCCATTCCAACACGCAACTATCCATCGATTGCTTCAGCATTTCCATCGACCACAGCCTCCTATTCCAAACCCATTCGTTGCGTCTTTTCCACACATTCCAGCATATCGCTAGACTTTTGCAGATTTTTGCGGCATCAGATTGTTCAAAGAGGGAGGAGAGCCACAATTCAAAACTTACTTGAGCTTGTAGTGAGAGGTCTAACGTGTCAAGCCAAATATCCTTTACCTCTGAACACTCAAAGAAGATATGATCCATGGTTTCAGGACCGGCGAGACAAATGGGACAACAGGGATCCACCACGACACCTCTAGTAGCTAACGACACAACCGAAGGTAATACATTTGTGGCACATCGCCATGCAAAGTTTAACACCTTTGGGGGGAGCTTTGTTTTCCATAAAGCTTTCCAGGCTGTAAATGGAGTAGGTGGCGTCGTTGTATCTTCTCTCAGCATCCTATAACCATTTCGAACAGAATAGAGTCCTCGAATGTCTCCTCGCCAACTCCACTTGTCTGCAAAATCCACCGAAACAGGTATTGATTTAATGAGTTCTACATCCCGAGGCAGGAATAGGGTAGTAAGCATGTTAGAATTCCAATCCCCTATAGTATGATCAATAAGAGATCCAACTACTGCCTCACCAAGTTCATCTGAGATTGGAGTCTGGACATATGGATGGTCCTTATCTGGTAGCCAAGGATGGTGCCAGATTTTTGTTGCCCTGCCATCACCAATGCGCCGAAAACAGCCACGCCTCAAAACATCTACGCCAGCAAGAATGGAGCGCCAACTGTAGCTAGGATTGGACCCCAACTTAGCTTTTAGAAAATCTGTGTCAGAAAAATAACGGGCTTTATAAAGACGGGCAACAATAGACAACGGATTACAAAGTACCAACCCTGCTTTGCCAGTAAAGCAATATTAAATTTGTTGAGGTTTTTAAAGCCTAGACCACCCTCAGATTTTGCAAATGTCATGCGATTCCAAGCTAACCAACGCACACCACCCCCATTACTAGACTTTGATAGCCACCAATATTTATTCATCATTCGTTCAATGTGCTCACAGAAGGTGATAGAGAGGTAATACAGACTCATAGTGTATGTAGGTAGGGATTGAGCCACACTCTTCAGTAACACTTCTTTACCAGCTCTAGATAAAATCCTTTTGGACCACCCACCTAACCGTTGTTTAAGCTTAGCCTCTATAAAAGAGAAGACTTCCTTCCGGTTTCTGCCAATACCCAAAGGAAGGCCCAAATATTTTCCAATACTATCTGCTTGAGTTACCCCCAAGGTGGAAGCTACTGCAATTTTGTTATGGCTGTCAACATTTTTACTGAAAACAATACATGACTTAGTGAAGTTGACAGTTTGGCCAAACATAGATTCATAAGCCTTTAAGCAATCCCTAACCACATTCGCCTCATGCACCGATGACTTAAAAAATAGGAGACTGTCATCCGCAAAAAAGAGATGAGAAATACCTGGGGCTCCTCTTGCCACAATACATGGGGATATCCGGCCATCATAGACTGATTGTGACAACAAATGAGACAAACCTTCCGCGCAAAGAATAAAGAGGTATGGGGAGAGGGGATCACCTTGGCGCAATCCTCTCGTGGGAATGATGTAATCTATGAGAGACCCGTTCATATTAACCTTGTAGCGGACTGTAGATACACAAAGCATTATCAGTTCAATCCATCGAGTATGAAAGCCCAATTTTTCCATAATAGCACGAAGGTAATCCCACTCCATCTTGTCATAGGCCTTGGCCATGTCAAGCTTTAGAGCGCACCATCCCGTCTTGCCTTCCCTCTTCCGGTTTAAGTAATGGATGACTTCAGAAGCAATAAGGACGTTATCCGTTATTAACCGACCCGGAATAAAAGCGCTTTGAGAATCAGAAATGGTTTTTTCAAGTACCACCTTAAGCCGATTCGCCACCATTTTAGCAAGGATTTTATAGGTGACATTACAGAGCGCGGTTGGTCTCAAATCACCCATGCTCATAGGCAGCGTTTTCTTGGGGACCAAAGTAATGTAGGCATCATTCATTCCCTCCGGTAGCGTTCTTGAATGGAGGCAGTGTAACACAAAATTAGTAATATCACTACCAATGCTTCCCCAAAAGTGTTGGAAAAAACCCGGATTAAACCCGTCCGGACCCGGAGATTTATCCGGGGCCATAGAAAATATTGCTTCTTTAACTTCATCAGGCGTGAATGGTTGTAGCAATCTATCATTGTCTTCATCACTGATTTTAGGGTGCAACCTATCAATATAGGAAGACTGCATACTCCCTGCCGTGTGAAAAATATTGCAAAAATAATCCTTAGCCAACAGTAGTAGAGATGTACCTTCTGTCCAAATACCGGCCTCATTTTTCAATCGCACAACAGTGTTCTTTTTCTTTCGGGAAGTCGCATAACAGTGGAAAAATTTTGTATTTCGATCCCCTTGCGTCAACCAATACTGTTTGGCACGTTGACGCCAAAAGATATTTTGTTGGCTATAAAGTTGGCGCATTTTATTATCCAGTTCTCGAACCATGGCCAGAGATGAGTGGTCTGTACGACCCCTAAGCAAATTGATGCGCTTTTGTGTAGTTTCAATCTCCCGAGTGAGGCGTTTTCCCAAGTCACCACCCCATCTTCTTAATTGCTCACCACAGTAGTCTAGCCGACTGGGAATGGTCTCTCCAACAGAGTTTTCCCAAGCTTCATTTACAATTTCCCCGCAACCTACATCACGGAGCCATGCATTTTCAAACATGAATCGTCGCCGTTGAGCTCAGATTTTTGGTTTTTCAGGGTCGAGGAAAATCGCCGTGTGGTCCGAGTTTAACACCTCCTTATTATACACTGTCGCATGCTCAAATAATAAGCACCAGTCCGCACCTGCAACAGCTCTATCAAGACGCTCTTCTACCCAATTGATAGTACCTTTACTTTTCTCCCAAGTGAAGGGTCGACCTTTCATTCCAAGATCAAATAGGTGGCAATCATCTAGAACATTGTTAAAACTAGTCATGAGATGAGAAGGGTGATTGTGAATTCCCCGTTTTTCAGTGGAAGCTGTAATCTCATTGAAGTCACCAATGACCAACCAAGGGAGATTGGATTTTCCATGCAGATTACGTAACAAGTCCCATGAACGCTGCCGATCCTATCTATCCGGAAAGCCGTAGAAACAGGTCAACCTCCACGGTGAAATGTTAGGCAAAGATACCTGAATATCAATATGATTTTTCGAATAGCTGATTAATTGGGCAATACCTCTATCCTTCCAGAATAGAGCCAATCCTCCACTCAAACCACCTCCATCCACATAAAACAAACCATCAAAATGCAACTTCAATTTCAAACTCTCAGCAGGTTGTCTTCTAACTTTCGTTTCCATAAGAAAAATAAAAGTTGGCTTATTTTTGGCTTCTAAAGCCATAACTTCCTGAACTGTCTGTGAATTGCCAAGTCCGCGACAGTTCCAAGATAAAGTACTCATTGAGATGGGCGGGACTGGGACGTACCAGCACCCGCCAACAGCAAGTTTTTTGAACCGGAATTTTCATACTCCATTGGAACAACCATAATAGCATTATCATCTGCATGGGACTCAACGCGAAATCTTTTTTGTTTTAAGATTAAAAGACCATCCTCCACGTCATACGCACCATCTTGTTTATTTGCACAATTGGTTGCATGATTTATTTCCATAACCGGTGCATGATTTATGCCATCAGTATTATTGTGCTGATTATTTTTGGCTGGAGTATCATTACGCTGATTTTGTGGAGATTTCCCTTTCCAATCCGCGGCAGCCTCTCTTCCCGGCGCGTTCCAGCTACGCCTCTCTGCCGCCGTGTTCGGCGCCAACTATCTATTCCCGCCCGTCGGAATATTACGCCGAAACCCAGCGCGAAGCTCAGATCCATAAGTTTTCTCAGACAGAGGATCCCAACCTTGCACTCTTCTATTGCAAAACTTATCACTATGCCCCAATAATCCACAGATGAAACAGAAGGTGGGTAGGCGTTCATAACGGAATTCAATCTGAATCCAATCACCATCCTCTTTTTTCAGCCGCATGCCTTTCTTCAGGGGTTTAGTAACATCGATGGTAATACGAATCCTGAAGAAAGATCTCGTAGAGCCATCAAAGTTACGTTCATCACAATGGTAGACAACACCAATGAAATCGCCAACGCCTCGCAGCACAGCTTCCGAACGGAACCCAGGTGGTAGTCCATGGACTTGGACCCAAAACTCAGCAGTATTCAGATCAATGTCTAAAGGATCTTCTGTATCAGATAGGCGCTTGAGAAGGAGTAAACTCTTATCAAACGTCCACGGGCCATCATTAATGATCCTAGATATATCAGCCTCATGGTAGAACTTGAACAAATACCTGCGGGTTGCCAACTCATCAATATTCATACCCATCGCAGGACGCCAGATCGTTGCCAAAGTATCACGGAGAAAGAGAAACTTCACATGTTTCTCTGTCACTAATCGTCCCACAGCATAGTAGACCACTTCATCGGCCTCCGGATCCAGAGAAACATTCTGAAGGTGTCACTGAGAAACATCGTCATCGAGATCAGCAAACGTCAAGTTGGCTAAGGATTGAACAACTGGTGTGGGATCCATGTTAACAAAAAGAAGAACTCACAGAGATGAAAAACTCAGAAAAGAAGAGAGAGAACTCGCGAACCAGCGAGAGGGAATTACAATATGAATCTAACTGGATTTAATAGAATTAAAACTTTCGCCCACATGCAAGTTTTATTTCAATAAATCCCTCAACCCATTAGATAATAATTTTATTGCAATTTCTTAGAATTTATAAATTTAGCTTAGTTATAATTCTAAGTTTCATGGTTTGTATTGGCAAAACATGTTTTCAGTCACTTCCCAAAATTTAGCCACTTTTATTAATTGATCCACGAATCTTGCTCGGTTCTTCGGACTAACTGTAGTAAGTTACGTGATTTGATATACCTCTTGGATTCCAATAATAATAATAAAATGTATCTTTTGAGCCAAATTATAACTTGGTTTTGGAAGGTGTATTTTGTTTTTTTTTAGTATGTCCAACTAGGTGGAGAATTATATCTTCATTATTTAGTTGGACTTTAATTGGAACCAAAAATTGATTATTTAGTATGTCCAACTAATGGTGGGGAATTATATCTTCATTTGTTAGTTGGTCAAATCAATTATGAGTATGTATATTATTAAGTTCACTTTATTAATTTCGCTGAAGAATATTTTAATTAGTGGGAGTGATCATTTAGAAAAAGATCATTAAGTTACTCCACTAAAGATTTTGGATTTAATTATTGTATTCATACATTCCAAATTGGGTTGTATGTTAAACAATAAGTCCAAAAGGTTCCACAAGTATCAATCTTGTATTTGCTCATATAAATTCATAAGTTCAAATTATTGAACATTTGGTTGTGCAACATATTTATGAAAATGTTGTAACAATATTAAGGAATTTATTAAAACAAAAACATTTAACTTGTGGTGCACTGTAATTTAATAAATTATTCAGTGATTAATAGAGTCTTTAGTTTCTTCAAAATTGATCCTGGGTCATTTCGGTTGTAAGGCTCAAAACAATTTTGTGGGACATATAAATAAGACTCATTATGTTCAGTTCATTTAAAATGGACATTGAAGTTATTTGGGAAGTTATGGTGTATGATTAAGATTCCAAATTTATGAACTTAGATGTTTGGTTTATTGTCTAAGTTATTGGAATGCTTCTGTGACTTGACTATCTTTTGGCTATTTTTGATGAGTGGGAGTAACAGACGTGTTAACTCCAAGCTCTTAGCCGTTAGAGATAGTGCTTAAAGTTAATTTATAAAGAAGTCATAGAATATAGTTAGCATTATGCTAACATTAAGAGATCTTTACTTAAAGGCATGCTTCTAAGATTTTAGAGATCATACAGTGTACTATTTGTACAATTTGGATGTGTTTCTCTTTCAGTTGTGCACATAATTTATTTTGAGCAACATCCCTTAAGGTACCAAGAATAAACATAGGGTTTGTTCATTAAGGACCTAAGTTGGAGAATTTAAATGCATGTGACCATAATGGATACTACTCTAATTAAATAGACGACATATCACTATGATTTGTGTGTTTTGTTCTTTGATGATGGTTGTGCTAGTACTTGCACCAAGTGGAAGAATGTAAGAGTTTCCCTTAATAATATATATTATATATTATATATTAGGACCTTAATTAAGTGGTGCAAGTTGATTAGGCTTATTAAGTGGTCTGGTTGGACTAAATAACTAGAAGTTGTTAGTCAACCAGACTCTGTGCCTAATATAATCCTGGATTGATGGGATACAGGATGATTGATGTTAGCACATTCAGTTACGGTACTCATACTGCTCAGTAGACACCAATACACCATTTAGGGTTCTTAGTCAGGTATGAGGCAAATAATGGCTAACGGTCTACCGTTGAGGCAACACAACAGGAATATCAATCATGGCTGGAGATCAACACGGCTACGCTTTCACTCTCATACGAGGTCAGGTTTCTCGTATACTAATATTCAGTATAGTTAGGTTATTCTATATCTAACATTAATATTATTTATATATATATATATATATATATATATATATATATATATATATATATATATATATATATATATATATATATATATATATATAGGGAAGGGATCAGGTGCATTTGTTGCTTCCCGTGCGGTTGTGCGGTGGATTAATGTGCGTGAGGTTTATACTTAATGTGCGTGAATGTTGTGCTTAATGTGCCTGAGATTTGTACTTAATGTGCGTGATGTTAATATGCGTGAGTTTTGTACTTAATATGCTTTAGTAATGTGCTTAATATGCGTGAGATTTGTGCATAATGTGCGTAAGTAGTTCAGAATTACGAGCTCAGAAAGAAGCAGAACAGAAAACTCACGCACATTAACGCCCAAGCTTCTTGTTACTTCTTCCTTCAATTTTTCCATGGATTCTGGATTATCAGCTACCTACAGTTCAATTGAATGTTTATATATATGACGCACGCACAACAAAATTTGCACACTAACTAAGTGTGAATTTTTGTTGTATTATTCTCATAATTCTTAATCACCATAGCTCGCCTCTGCATCATCATCATCAGGGAGGGGGCAATGGCTACTGGGGATGGGGAAAAAGCTGATATCCATATTTTCTGCATTTTACACATTTACGCACATTAAGTACAAATCTCAGGCACATTAGACACAACACTCACGCACATTGAGAACAAATCTCACGCACATTAATAACCGCACAACCGCACGAGAAGCAATCACCCGCACGGGAACCTTTCAATATATATATATATATATATATATATATATATATATATATATATATATATATATATATATATATATATATATATATATATATATATATATATATATATATGACATTTAAAATTGAGAATTTTGATGTCTTTAATAGTTAGATTTGTGAGCATAGAGTTCGGTCTAAATTTAGACGATTCAAGACGCATCTTTTTAATTGTTAAGCATGCATGGCATAACTAACATGTAATTGTCTTATAATATTTGTAACACATCTTGGATTAGTCACCAAATAGTTATTTACATTTCTTAACATCTCTAAGCTTGATCAACCATTCCAATCAGTGCTCGAATCTTGCTCAACGTACTTGCAAACAACTCCAATGGCCTTTGTCTTCGAACCTTGAAATTGAGTTAGTTGTATTTGAAACTTGACCACCTGATCAACCAAGTGTGACACCACCTCATCTTTCATGAGTTGAACAACTATGCCTTTAGGATTGGGGTTCAACATTTTGGAAAAATGAGTTGAAGAATTTATTATGCAGAGGATATTAACCCCAACAAATATCTTGTTACATATTTTGATTTAATTGATTTTTTTAATTTCAAAACCAACAAATAAAATATGAATAAAAACGTGTTTAGTCTCCCAATTATGAGAAAATAGCTTACTCAATCCCCTAATTTTTATTACCTTCACATTTAGTCTATTAATTATGATTTCTATGACGGATATAGTCTCTCGGCCCGATGACAAATCTATTAAACTTCGATATATGCTCATCAAAATCAGGACTTTATATGGACCATATGGTTACTTCTGTAAGTTACTAGCCTTATACTTTTTCCCTCTTATTGAGGAGTAAATGTTGAAATATACAAATTTTATCACCAAGAGACGATATTCACCATTGTAATAATATTTAATAAGTAAATAGTTAAATACAAAAGTCCCAATAATAAAAGACTAGTTCTGCTATTTTCTAGAGATTTTTCTTAGTATTAATGTATTTTTTTTCTAGAGGTTAAAATCACTATTTTTCTTTAAAAATAGAAATAAGGTTCAAATTGGCCACTGAACGTAACATGAAAATGCAATTAGGCCATTGAACGGAAAAAAAAAAAGTGCAATTAGGCCACTAAACACTCCAAATGTATGCAATTTTGCCTGATAGCATGTTACTATCAATTTTAGCAAGTTAAATTTTTTTTAATTTTCTTTATTAAAAAAAAAACGACGGCGGCCACCCTGTCATTTTATTTTTATTTATTTTTTTTTTTTTAATTTTTTAAAAATTAATTATTAAAAATTATTCAAAATTATTAAAAATGTCAACTCAGCTGCCACGTAAGCAAGTAACCTGCTAAAATTGATAGTAACTTACTATCCGGTGAAATTGCATACATTTAGAGTGTTCAGTGACCTAATTACACATTTTTTAAGTGTTCAGTGACCTAATTGCACTTTTTTCATTCAGTAGCCTAATTATATTTTCAGGTTATGTTCCGTGCCCAATTAGAACCTTATTCCTTTAAAATATTAAAGTTGTCTAAAAATAATTGAATAGGAAAGTTTTAATAGGTATAAGCTAACTCTATCTCCAGATATTTTAAAGATAAAAGAACAAAAGACAGGTGTCAAACATTTTTTTAATGAACTATTTTAAAAAAAAAAAAAAATTAATCACTAAAATTCACGAGGTGAGTGGTTCAAGAATATTCAAGCAGAAATTAAAAATAAATAAATATAAATAATTTGCATCGCCATCATTGCCCATCCATCATGCACCGTCACCACCACCCCCTGGGGTACCCTTCTTCTTTCTCACTCCCACTTCCCGTTGCTCTTTTAGCTTGGGCTTAAGACCCAACACACAAAAATGGCTGCCATAATTTCCATGTCCCATTTTGCCCCTCGTACAGTCCTGTATTTCCTTCTTTTATCCTCTTCGTTTTTCCCAGTTTTCGCCATTAACATCACCACTCTCTTGTCGTCTTTCCCTGATCTCACTGACTTCACTAACCTTCTCTCCACCACCGCCGTCGCCGCCGATCTCTCCGGCAGGACTTCGATTACGCTTCTCGCCGTGCCTAATACCTT